GAGAGAGAGAGAGAGAGAGAGAGAGAGAGAGAGAGAGAGAGAGAGAGAGAGAGAGAGCAAGAGCGAAAGAAACCATTCACGGGGATAAGAATTTGGTAAAGTTCGAGGTCACACCAGCTACCACGAACTATGTTAATACAACGGCGAAAAGAAAGGGAGAGCTCCGGGCTCTTTAAACCTCTTCTAAATATAAATTCGACGGTGTGACGCAGAGTGCGACCTTGACCGTGAGAAGTATCGAAAAGTATTTCGAAAGTCTACCGACACGCGTCGTGCCGCGAATCAGCAGCTTTCTTATCAATACGCAGCGACACGTAATCGAGACCGATCGTGTGGAAATTATTCGAGCCCGCACGCTAGAGCGATCGCGAAACTGAAGGTCTGACTACGCGAACGAGACAAACGGCTTTTGTTAGTTCGCTGTCAGAACGCGAGATCGAGTCGCGATGAAAGTTCAGCTTACATAAACTCGCCACGTGTATCAGCGAAATTGGAAAAAGATGCGTCCACGCCCTCGATTTCACGCCTGCCGGAAGTTAATTAACGCCACGAGCGAGGCGCTATCCTTGCGCCGCGCGGGCAGGTGTGCGCGCGTGAGTTTTGCAAACTTGCCGTCGATTTGCGGTGTATCTACCAGCCTCCATTGTTCCTCGCCGTCGATGAATCGATGGACGACAGACAAACGGCGGCGATGTCGCGCAACTGTAAAAATACATTGGACCGTTTCGAACGTCGGGGGTCATGTTATCGCGATGAACAACGCGTGCGTGATAACGACAAATGATTTCTTGATCGTCCGCGTGAAATCGTGAGAACGAGCTATCGCGATCATCTCCTTGAAAAAATGTTGTCTCACACCGTCCAGTTCGTGAGCATCATATCGAGGTAAAAGCACTAATGCCTTGACACGTACCTGATCTTGGATATATTATTGTTATTTTAATAAGTTAATAAATTTTAATTGAGTCTTTAAAATATGATTACCTAATATTTAAAAAAAACATGGAATATATATATATATATATATATATATATTCCATGTTTTTTTTAATATATAATATATATATAATATATAATATATATATATATATATATATATATATATATATATATATATAT